GTTTTTCCCGCGAAAGAGACGCCGCAAGGAGGCTTTGTGTGCGGCACCTTACATCCTGCTTAGTTCTTACTAAGAAGAAAAAGTTGTTTTTGTCTGGGTTTGCTTCCTTACACTCCGCTTTCTTCGTGTCTTTTGCGACCTGGTTCATTCAGCATGTCTGGCTTTGACGACCCAGGAGTGTACTACAGTGACAGCTTCGGAGGTGGAGAGGGCCCCGGCGGGGACGAAGGTGGACAGAAGCGGATCCAGATCAAGAAGCGGTTCCGTGAGTTCTTGCGACAATTCAGAGTGGGGACCGACCGCACCGGCTTCACCTATAAATACAGGTACGGTAACAGCGATCGCACCGTGCTGTTGTTTGTTATACAGCCGCACCCTGAGTGTTCAGGATCTGATCTCAATATGGGTAATATAGCAAATAAGAACTGTCTTTGTTACAAAGTTACTGTTGAGATTTTTTTTTTTTAAAGTGCTCATTAGTCTGGCAGGAGGCCTAAATACAGGGGCTGCTGAATTTGTGGAAAATGTAGATTCTAGCACAGAGGTGTCAAACATAAGGCCCGAGGGACAAAATCGGCCCGACGAAGACTCCAGTGTAGCCCAAGGAAAGGCTTTGGAAAATGTGAAGGAGTGTGTAAATGTTGGACTTTTAACTATATTTTTTATCAGTTTTACAGCTTTTCTTGTGAATAAAGACCTCCCCCATGGTCATTCATTCTATACCAAAGTAATAGCTAAACAGTTAAATGACTAAATTGAACTTTTCTGTCTACTATCTGGTTTTGTTTTACAGTGGATCAATGATAAAAAAGGGGAAAAGGAAACTGCTCTGTCCAACTTAAGATTAAAGTAGGATGTATGTGGCTGATGAGTTTGACATCCCTGCTCTAGCACATCTTGAGCTTCATAACATGTAGAGACCAACAGTAGTTATATTTGTGATCCTTTTGTGAAGCATCTGAATCATTTGCCATTAAAGCTCTAAATGTGCCAATTTTGGGCTCATCCAGCCTATGAATTTGCATTATTTTCACTTGTACCTAAATTCAACTAGAGATGAGCTGAAGCGACACTACACCTTGGGGGAGTACTGGCTGGAGGTGGAGATGGAGGACCTCGCCAGCTTCGATGAGGATCTGTCAGACTGTCTTTACAAGCTGCCGACTGAGAACCTGCCTCTGGTGAGCATGTCACACCGCACAAACTCCGTCCCGGCGGGCGATCCATCTGTCCGACGCATTTGTCTGAAGGTCTGCTTTTAATTTACAGCTGGAGGAAGCCGCAAAGGAGGTGGCCGATGAGGTGACCCGTCCCCGGCCTGTCGGGGAAGAGGCTGTGCAGGACATCCAGGTCACGTTGAAGAGCGACGCTCATCACGCATCCATCCGCAGCCTCAAGGTACTCTCAGGCCTCTTTGTGTGTCATACTGTAGGAGTTACTGACAGGTTGATCACACTTTTTCTTGTTTTTTTTTTCTGTCCACTGCAGTCTGAGCAGGTGTCTCGTCTGGTGAAGGTGCACGGCATCATCATCTCTGCCACGGCGGTCAAAGCCAAGGCCACCAAGGTGTGTCTGCAGTGTCGCGGCTGCCGCGCCGTCATCCCCAACATCCCCCTGCCTCCAGGGCTGCAGGGTTATGCCCTGCCGCGCAAGTGCAACTCGTGAGTATTATGATGGGGTAACGTCCCTCCGCTCGAGTTCCTCACCCAGAATCACCTTTAACGAGGCTCCCTCTTTTCTCAGTGAGAGTGCTGGCAGGGTAAAGTGCCCTGTGGACCCTTACTTCATCATCCCAGACCGCTGCGTTTGCGTCGACTTCCAGACACTTCGCCTGCAGGAGTCCCCAGATGCTGTACCTCACGGAGAGATGCCCCGTCACCTGCAGCTCTACTGCGACAGGTAAGCACCTGTGTGACTGACACTGAGCTTTTTCTGCTGCTGTGCTGCTTTTACACTCATGCTTTTTCCCACCTGTCTCTCAGGTATCTGTGTGACCGCGTGGTCCCAGGAAACAGGGTGACCATCATGGGTATTTACTCCATCAAAAAGATGGCTGCACCAAAAGCCAAAGGCAAAGAGAGAGGGGTTGGCGTGGGTATTCGTGCGTCCTATCTGCGAGTGGTCGGTATCCAGGTGGACACAGAAGGCGCAGGTGAAAAGGTTTTGCATTAAGACGCGGGTGTGATGCGTTTCAGGCGAGCAGAGCTGGCTTTAAGTGTGGATATTTTTTCCTCTTTTAGGCCGTGGTGCCACTGGATCCGTCTCCCCACAGGAAGAGGAGGAACTGAGGGCACTGGCTGCTTCTCCTAACGTCTACAACTCTCTGTCACAGTCTATAGCGCCATCCATCTATGGCAGCGATGATGTGAAAAAGGCCATTACCTGTCTGCTGTTTGGAGGTTCAAGAAAGAGGTGAGCTTTAAGCGCAATACATAGACACCCACCTTTATTGTAAAAGTCCCTGACTTACCCAGCAGTGCTTCCTGTCCTCTGCAGGCTGCCTGATGGTCTCACTCGTAGAGGTGACATCAACCTGCTGATGCTGGGCGATCCCGGCACAGCCAAGTCTCAGCTGCTGAAGTTTGTTGAGAGATGCTCGCCCATCGGGGTAAGTAATCCTGAATGGATTGTCGTCACTACGACAAATCCGGTGTAAACCCCTCACACTGATCCTGAACCTCGACTCTGTCCCCTGTAGGTCTACACCTCCGGTAAGGGCAGCAGCGCGGCCGGTCTGACTGCCTCCGTGCTCAGGGACCCCAGCACCCGAGGATTCATCATGGAGGGGGGAGCCATGGTGCTGGCCGACGGCGGGGTCGTGTGCATCGACGAGTTTGACAAGGTAAAAACGAAGCAGCACAAGTTGCTAAGTTGCAAACAAGAATTCAAACTTGGCACAAAATAAATTATCTTTAATACTCATTATTAAAGATAACACTGTGTTTGTTGTCCAGATGAGAGAGGATGACAGAGTGGCGATCCACGAGGCCATGGAGCAGCAGACCATCTCCATCGCTAAGGTATCGCCTCTTTGTGCATTTAAGGAAAGTAAAATGCGATCGCTGTGTTGAAGGCAAGCTAACACGTGGGCTCTCCTCCCAGGCTGGCATCACCACCACCCTGAACTCTCGCTGCTCTGTGCTGGCGGCGGCCAACTCTGTCTACGGCCGCTGGGACAACACAAAGGGCGAAGACAACATCGACTTCATGCCCACCATCCTGTCCCGTTTCGATATGATCTTCATCATCAAGGACCAGCACGACCAGCAGAGAGACATGGTAAGGAGGCCGAAGGCCTGCGGCGTTAAACCCTCGTGTGGTTGGAGCTGTTACAGAGTGTAACTGTTTGAACGCGTCTGTTTACAGACGCTGGCTCGCCACGTGATGAACGTCCACCTCAGCGCGCAGACGCAGACCGAGGGTGTCGAGGGCGAGATCCCGCTGACCACATTTAAGAAATACATCGCTTATGCAAGAACGTAAGTGTCCTGGAGTTCATGTATTAGTTTGATCGCACACACTGTCATGTACTTAGTTTAAAAAATAAATAATAATATTAATTTGCCCATTTACAGTAAGTGTGGTCCTCGGCTGTCTGCTGCAGCTGCTGAGAAGCTAAAAAACAGATACGTGGTGATGAGGAGCGGAGCACGAGAGCACGAGAGGGAGAGCGACAAAAGAGCCTCCATCCCCATCACAGTCAGGTAGATTTTTATTTATTTTAATAAATGATCATGTAAATGCGTCTTTTTACCCCAGCTTTAGTGCTTGGATCTTCTCGCTTCATCGTCTGTCTGATGTTTCGGGTTTTCAGGCAGCTGGAGGCCGTCGTGCGCATCGCAGAGTCGCTGGCTAAGATGAAGCTGCAGGCGGTGGCTGGAGAAGAGGAGGTGGATGAGGCCCTGAGGCTCTTCCAGGTTTCCACGCTGGACGCTGCACTGTCTGGCAGCCTTTCAGGTGGGCGTTGGTCATGTTTTTGGGTCTAGTGGATAGATCTACGTCATTAAACTGAACCATATTAGCTATTCCATTAAAGAACCTTTTGTTTTTGTTTTTAATTTGCTGGAAGCCAAGTGTAAAGCCTCAGCTAAGCATGCCAACCACATTTTGTGTCCAGGAGCGGAAGGCTTCACTTCTCAGGAGGACCAGGAAATGATCTCTCGCATCGAGAAGCAGCTGAAGAGACGCTTCGCCATCGGCTCGCAAGTGTCAGAGCACAGCATCATACAGGACTTCACCAAACAGGTGAGAACATCAACCTGGGGACACAACAGTGATTTGACTCTGTGCCCAGCTTGTGTTTTGTGTTCCATTGGGATGATTACAGGAATAGTGTTCAGTTCTCTTTTGTCAGTCATGTAAAAACAGACCTGAGAAACATTTTTTACATGCCTGACAAAAGAATCAGTTTTGGTCTGGGTCCTGTTAGTGACCTCTTTCTGTCCTTCCTGCAGAAATATCCAGAGCACGCCATCTACAAAGTCCTCCACCTGATGTTAAGGAGGGGGGAGCTTCAGCACCGCATGCAGAGAAAAGTGCTCTACAGAGTCAAGTAGAGAAAAGTGCTCTATGAGATAACCATATTGTTGTTGATGTAAATAGTTTTGATTCATTTGTGGTGTTATGTTTGCCAGAATAGTGTCTCATCTCAGCTGTAGCTCTGTACAGCAGGATGCATGCCAACAGGGTGGATGAAGAGTCACTGCTAAGATGGTCCTAGTGCTTTGTATCAAGCTAAAGATGTTACTTAATGTCTGCATACTGTGTTTAAAAAAATAAATAACAATAAAGTATTGAAATTCACATTAAAATGTTGAGAGTATTTCTTTTTTTTTGTTTTTTTATTAAACAGATCATAAACAGAGACACGATTTGATGAATATACACAAATGACAAGTAAAATCACTGCTTTGGCTTGGAGTTGACAGATTGTCAGTCACGATTTCTCTTTCAGAGCCAAACTGAGTAAAGTGCAAAATGTGCATGTCACACACTGTATATAAAAGATGGATGGAGCCTTTGTAATCCCACTCACTGGTTAGTGACGCCTTAAGTCTTGCAACATCACAAAATGTAATTTATATTCTGCAAGAACCATCGACGGTGCAAAATATGGTTGTAGCTTCTGGGTTTGGAATGTGAAGCCAAGTTGGAAGCGCCTTTTAAAACTACAATCTCTTCAGTCACCACCAGGGGGCGACACAAACAACCTTTCATGACTTTGCTAAACACTTTCCGGACTTTCCTGTGGTCCTGATCACTGGTTTGAGGTCATATTCAGAAGAAAATTGAGTCATTTTTTTTAAATTAAGAGAATTCCAAGAGGAACAACTAGGTGATGTAACAATAGCTCTTTTCATCTTTATCTGTATGCCTTAAACTGGTGATTGAGACCATAAACCTTCAAGACTTCCTTTTAAAATCATTCATACGTCTTCTCCTGTTTGCCTTCATTTTTCAAACCCAGAAGCTAAAGCCATGTCTTATGTACAATCTATGATTCACAACCAGTATAAGTACAGGTAGAGCCTACAAAGCATACATTCCCACTCCAATAGTGGCCAGCGCAACACACAGTCCCACGGTGAACTGTACGATGGATGACGACGGGAGGACGGCCGCTGGGGATCTGTCTTTGTGCTGGTCCGCAGTTTCTGTTGCAACACTCAGCATTTTCTGCAAGTCATCAAAAACCTACAAGGAAACAAGGGGTTAAAAAAAAGGGATTAGCGTGTTGGCAGCATTTTGGCTCTACATGCATTAGCTTCAGTTCCTCTTTCAGCTGAGTTCACTGAGAACTGTGGAGCAATTCTTGGTGTCATTTTTGGTCAGGGCTTGCACAGAAAAAAATCGTCCTGAGGTCTCTCACCTGTATGTTCAGCTCAAAGGCCTGCACGGCCTCCTCCAGCACCGCGGCCTTCTCCTTCTCCGTCAGCTCGATGCTGTTCATCCGGCTCCTGTACAGCTGCTTGAAACGGTTGGGGCTGCTCACACCGGGGAAGTGGAAGAAGGAAAGCCCCTCTTTGCTGCTCAGACCGAGAGATTTCTGGGTAATCTTTCCCAGCACTTGTCCCCCTGAGAGATCACCGAGGTAGCGAGTGTAGGCGTGGGCCACTAGAAGCTCTGGGTTCTCTCTGCCGATCTGAGAATGTAAGAAGGGGGAAGTGTTGCACTGGTTCTTGTGCGCTCTGAGTTATGAATCATGAATCACGTCAAAACGCGGTGCTCACCTGTCGCAGTCTCTGGCCGTATCTCTGTGTGGCTGCAGGGACGATCACTCTCTTCCTCCACTCTGATCCAAAGAAATGCTCCAGGTCTCTTTCCAGTGATTCCACACGGGAAAGCTCCTGAGGGAAGTAAATTGGTGCAACGGCTGGATGGGAAGCATTCCTGTCCATCTCATCTTCCAGAGCCCTGTAGATCTCGTAGAGGGAGCACAGCAGGACCTAAAAGACGCATAAAGATAGACATCCACTTATAAGAAAAAAAAGAAAAGGAACAGAAAGTGGTTTGTGTATCCAGCCACTGTGCACACTTCACCTTATACTGAACCAGAGTGATCTCTCCCTTTTGGTAACTCAGCATCAGCTGTGTGTTTTCAGCCCTCACGTGGTTGTCCTTAGTGGCTGCTTTAATCTGCTCTGATAAATCGCTGAGGCCAGAAGGGAAACACAGAAAGGGAGCAATCATTCAACATGTCCTAAAATGTCTTTAAGTGCAAAAGCTGCGAATTTCCAGTAAAGTGATCTCCCATACCTGCCGACTTCTCCTGTCTCATTCTTTCTCGCACTCTTCATCGTGTCCATCTGTTCAAATGGTTTCATTGGTTTAGTATAGGTACACAAAATGTAAGAGTATACATATATAATGCATTTCACTCACATTCAGTAAAGTGTAGTTGAGTCTTCGATCCTTAGAGCTGGCGGCTGTCAGCGTGTCCGGTCAGTTCCTCTGAACGGTTGCTCCTCAGTGCATGGCCTCTCAGCTCCCTCCCTCCTCTTTTATACAGCTGTGAAGCTCCAGCTGCTGAGTCAAATGAGAAGTGTGATTGCTGAGTCATGCTTCACATGACAGGGGAGATGTGGACACAGCAGCAATATCAGAAAACATGACGAGGCATTAAAGCTTATTTTCTTGAATCATGTTTGAGCTGGCTTTGGCTACATGTGGCTACAGAGTCCTTATGGAGAAACAAAGTAGCATGTAATGTATTCTCAAAACCTGTAGCTATTATCTGTCAATTGTTAGCATTTTTTTGTTGTTGTTTTTTTGTTTTTTTCCATTAAAAAAAAACATCTATTAACAGGGGACAGAACAAGAGGTCTTGAACTTAATGTCACAAGAAGCTACACCAAGAAGCCCCAAAAAGACGAGGAGCTTATTGGCTCCAAGTTTGCCTCGCAATATAAGGGCCCCCCGAAAAAAATCTGCTGGCTGTATCACTTCTAATAGTTTAGAAGTACATTTTTGTAATTTGTTCATGTAAAAAGTGTGTAGTAACTCTTGTATAGCTACAACACTGAAAGGCACAATCAAGCTTTATACACTACTGTGCAAAACCACTTTACTTCCAAGGAGACAGACTTTCTTAGTATTATTTCAGTAGTTCTCCAGGCTTTCTGCAGGTCTTTAAAAGCTGTTCTTCTTTACACATTGTCTGCTTTTTCACTTATTTTCAGTCCAGTCCTGTTACCTGACTGTATTCAGAGGATTTTCTTTTTTTAAAGTAAGCAACTTAACACTGATACCTTAAAGATTTGAGCATCTAGCTCAAACTGTGAACCATTTTTGCATCTGCATAACACAGACAGCTTTAAATTGTATCTGTAGACACTTTGTTACAAGCAAAAAATCAGTGGCAATATATCTTATGACGTGAGAAATAAAAATTTTAAATCTTTGCTTCGATGTTTCATCAATATATACAGATGAGGTTGTATTTAAACAGGAAACTAAGCTCTGTGGATATTTGGCAGCTCTAAAACATTAAAATTCAAGGCTGAAAGCAAAGACAGCGGCAACAACAAGCAAACTTTCGCACATATGAGTATCTTCTTATCCATGACGTCCGCTACCCAATCAAAACGTTGCCTAGAAATAATTAAAAATACATTTTAAAGTAAATTAAGTTATTTCAGAAAGATAAATTAGTTTTAATAATTTAAAGGGAGAACTTTCCATTTGGAGGTATTACACACAGACATATAAAGTAGTGAACTGCTGACTAAAAGCTGTTTTAGCCGAGAACAAAACATCTGTACCATTTTTTAGGGAACTTTACCGGAAGTGATGTCAGAACAAAGCAGTCCCTGCCAATTGAAAATTTACCGCCAATAACTGCGCAGAAGAAAAAACGAGAAAAAACGAAGAGGAAACAATAACTACTCCACTTTCGTGACGCCAAAGACTCTCTTCACGCGAGGAGTTGCGTCTTTTAAAAAAAATCCTGGATGGCTACGATGGCTTCCGACGACGAAGCTGCTCCTGAACTGCTTGAAAGCGAGGACGAAGGAGAGTCTGGCGCAGAAAGTTTCCTCACGGAGGACGAACTAGCTTACGACGAGGGGCTCGATCCAGCGGAAGAGTAAGTATACTGTATTTACAAGCTAATGCAGCTTTAGTACGGGCAGAGTTTGATGGTGTTTAGAGCAAGACTGCAGGTATAAAAACCTGCAGACCGTAAGCCAGCCATATAAAATATTTAAAAATATTTTTTTTAAAGTACGTTAATGTATTCAGAGAGAGCTGTGATTGCATGATAATGCACAGGACAGATTTTTGCACTTGGAGAAAACTCATGATTACATAAATGAGGAGTAGAAATGGCATAATATGTAAGTATGGTATGACACGTGACGTGTGGCAGGAATAAATAATAAAATGAAGTTTTTAAGTGGTTATAACACAGTTGATGGCAGTAGATCAACATGTGTTTAATTGTGTAGGTGTATTTTAGGGGTTTGGGTCAGTGAAATGAACTGATGAAATGAGTGCTATGTTCTTTACTTGCACCTTTGGACTTTATCTGGTCACACTGTGTGTGTGTGTCTGTGGGTGGGTGGGACGGTGGGGGTTAGGGTTTTAGCCATAGTCTTCATAGTACACATTCTTGTGGGGGATGGGGCCTTCCAGGCACAGGATATAAGCAAACCTACACTACAGGTTTAAGTCTGGATGGGTTGGAGGAACAGCATCAGGCAATTTCAACCATTCTTTATAGTTTATACTGCGAAAGATTTGAACCACAAAAACACTGGCCTGAGATAAATGACCATAATATTTATTCTGTTTCTTTCAGTTATGATGATCAACAGGATGGGCACACAGAGCCTTGCACCTCTGGTGAAGAAGATGCCAACCACTCTGCTTATTGTGAAGAAGACGGTTCTTCACTCAGTGTAACGAGAGGCCATAAAAGAAAAAGATCTCCACATTCAACAGCCAAATCCTGGAAAACAGAGAACGATCCAGACATTTGTCCGCCGCCTAACAGGTTCGTCCCAGCCCGACCACCCGGACATCAATTGAATTCAAACAACAAACACATGCCGCTGGACCTCTTCAAGCTGTTTCTCAGCAATGAAGCCATTTCAACTCTTTGTGAGAACACAAACAAACAAGCAGCCAAAAACATTGGAAAAGGCAAAAAGTATTCATGGACTGACCTCGACGTCCCAGAGTTCCTAAATTATGTCGGACTCACTTTCTTCTTTTCACTGGTGAAACTGGATAACATCTGTGACTACTGGAAAAAGAACACGATATTCAGTGTGCTGTTTCCGGCTGACGTCATGTCACAGGACAGGTATCGGGTGATATCTTGGAACATCCACATGAGTGATCCCGAGGAAGATGTTGAGAATGACAGGCAGAAGGGAACGCCGCAATACGACCATCTGTTTCGATTGAACCCCCTAATGGACACCATCAAACACGCCTGCAATACGTTTTACCACCCTAGGCAGAAGCTTCTGATTGATGAGAGGACAATAGTGAGGAAGAACCACGCTGGAATGATTCAGAAAGGGGCAGCAAAACCAAACAAGTTGGGTTTCAAACTCTTTGTTCTGTCTGACAGCAGCAACGGTTACATCTTGGACTTTGCTGTGTACACTGGAAAGTCACGGTTTGAGTCAGGCACTGGGCTTGCATACGACTCTGTTATGACCCTGATAAAGTCTGCACACCTGGGCAGTGGTTATAACCTGTTTCTGGACAGTTTCTACACCAGTCCAAAACTCTTTAAAGACCTGCTGAGCCTCAATGTTGGAGCGTGTGGAACATACAGAGACAACAGGAGAGGCTGCCCAACCACACATTCAAATGCTCTGACAAAAAAGGATCCCAAAGGCACCCTGAGGTGGATCCGCGAACCTCCTGTGGTTTATGTGAAGTGGAAGGACTTCTGTGAGGTCAGCATCTGCTCTACAGTCCACCAGGCGTTCTCTGGACACACCGTGGAGAGGAGAGTGAAAAGTGAGGATGGCAAGTCGACCGTCGGATTCATTCCATGCCCGACACCTGTCATGGAATATAACAAGTACATGGGAGGTGCTGATATGTTAGAACAGTTGACACAATCCTACTCTGTACACCACAAAACATCACGCTGGTACCGTTTACTGTTCTTGCACTTCCTGGAGATTGCAGCCACCAACAGCTTCCTGCTTCACAAGGAGCTCTGCAGAGAGAAACACGAGGAACCCATGACTCACAGGGCCTTCCTGGAGGAGCTGACTGCCCAGCTGTGTGGCGTAACAGTCGCCGTCCCCCCTACCAAAGGCCCGAGTGGCCACCTCCCCGTGCCGATCTCCAACCAACCCGATGCAAGCAAGAGGGCCTCGTACGGACGAAGGACCTGCGTGCAGTGCAGGCTGATAAAGAAGGAATATCAGTCTACCCCCTGGAAGTGTAGGGAGTGCGATGTGGCCCTGTGTCTTATTGCAGACAGGAACTGCTTCGAGGCGTGGCACGAATAATGTCGAGATTAAAAAAAAAAGCAGGAAGGAAGGACTTATGTGAAATCAGTGTAAACAGTTATTTCTCTGTTTCTTGGATTGCTTTTTTACCCTTAAAAAACAACTCACGTTCTTTAATTTTGTGTTCTGAAATAAAGTTTTCTCACTTTCAGTAGATGCTTGTTTGTTGGTCTTTATGCACGGCAGCACACATAGTTTCCCAAAATGTTTATATACAGTAATATTGATTAAACCAGCCACAGAGGTAATATTGATTACACATAGCTGAAATTTTTTAAGTATTTCTATATTAACTTGTTTTTAAATATACAATCATATCAATTATCTAAAAACTATACATGTTATTTTGAAAGTTTAAAATATATAAATCAACAGATAAGCAGTGCTTAAATTTATAAGACCACCCAATGTAATGCCACAGCTGCCCTAAATTACCAGGTTTTTTTTTTCAATACGTCTTGGCTATAAAATGCCAGTGCTGCTCAGTCACGTGGACATTGTTACGGCCAATGTGTGACCCACCTGCCACTGGGACACAACTTCAACCTCAGAGCAGTAAATTTAGGTCAGAGTAATATCACAAACTAACCTGCTCCTGCTACCCATTTTAATACAGTGTTTATATAGATAAATATATGTATATAAAAATGTAACTGTACATACTTGTTAGCGTTTTCAAACTGAATTTGTTATCACTTAAGCCTGCAGTACGTTCGCTGTCCACCAGGGGGCCCTGGCCCACACTGCTGGAAAAGCAGTTACAGATAAAGCTACCCAGCAGTGTGTAGCTGTATAATTAAAGTGCTTTATTCATTAAAGAATAATAATGATGCAATAATATAGCGTATATTATTCCAAATAGGGGGCACACTGCATCATGAGTACTTTTACTGTATGGAAGTGTATTATGATGCTAAAATGTTTGTACTTTTACTTACTCCAGATTATTGTCTAAGCACGTTTTATTATTTATTTTTTTAGATAAAGTTATATCAGACACATTTTGTTATTCCAAACTGTATTTATGTAACTGTTGAGTAATTCCCCATTATAAGAACGAGTCTTTCCTTCCTTTCTCGCCTGCTCCGGTCGTAAACACGCCCCCTGATGCACGCTCCCCTCCATTGGTGTTTGTCATCCGGGGGCGAACTGGGCTGTGCCAGTGGATTTGTGGAGGACTGCTGCTCTCTCTCGCACAGAGAAATCTGTGTAAGATGCAGGACAGTAAACATGTAGCAGCCGTGACCGGATCGACACGCGGTGAACTCCAGATGCTGCGCGTGAAGGATCGAGCCATTTGAAAGGTGAGGTGCGAGGTCTCCGTGTTTGACGACGTTAGCTGTTCTCACATCTGGTTGAGCGGGCGAAGGCAGTGGCTGCATCCTCGACGGAGTGATATAACATCGGCTGGAGAGTTCACGGAGAGCCCGGGATCCCCTGCGGACCCTACACCTGTGTCTCTTAGCACGGTTCTACTCGCTTCAGCCCTACTAATTATCGCCTTGGGTTCCCTTTAGGTTTTATACCGAATACGTTTCTGTGGCTTCATGTGGAGCTCCTGCATGGAGCCCGTTCTCCCAAATACCTACGCAGGCTGGGCTCGGACACAGTTAACTTGACCAAACTTGTTCGATATTTTTACATGACAAATACGTTTTATCATAAAATCCAGACTTGTTCTGTTTATAACAATCCAGGTACTATTGAAAATTGTTCATTTATTGAAATAGGTTGGTTTTGTGTGGGGAGGTGGCACATAGGGAGGACGCAAGAGGAAGATGATCAAAATGTTCGATGATTAAAAAAAAATACAGTGTAGAAAACTGGTTTGGATAAAATTTGTACGGTTTTTAGGTTCAGATGTAGTGCCGTGCCCTTATACACATGGATTACATCAAGTGGGACTGCACTGCACAAGAACCTGTAAACAGCTTTGTATTGGAACTGATGATACACCACAGTTGGCTAAAGAAACCTGGAAAAGTGTTGCCTGCACTGATGGGTCTCAGTTTATGCTTCAACTGCTTCTAGCAGGATAACACAGGATAACAAATCATGTCGCATGATTCGCAAATAATCTCAAAAGGGTTTATAAAAGTCGAATGTTTCATTGTTATTACTTATATATTCATCGTGTTAATATATATATATTTTTTTACTTCCATCATTGCCTCATATTCATCAGGTTATGGATCCGAGCCTTCCTTCTGTCATCCTTTTCATCCTGATTGGCTATGTTTTAAGCTCTTTTGATAACCGCCACCACAATGTCACCCGCCGGTACGACTACTGTGTGCTTGGAGCCGGCCCCGCAGGACTGCAGATGGGATATTTCCTCTCCAAGGCCAGGAGAAACTATGTCATCTTGGAGAGGAACTCGGGACCTGGCAGCTTCTTCAACAAGTAAGGAACTTTGGGCGAGCTTTCAACATAACACACGCGTTATCCTCCCGTATAAACTCTGAGGGACGTCTTCTTTGCTTTGTTTTGTATAAGGTATCCCAGGCACAGGAAGCTCATCAGCATCAATAAGATCTACACCGGAAGGGGGAACCGAGAGTTCAACCTGCGCCACGACTGGAACTCGCTGCTGAGCGATAAACCTGACCTCCTCTTCAAGAGGGTCAGCGATGACTTTTACCCGCCCGCTGACGCCTTCCCTCAGTACCTGTCCTTGTTTGTGGGGGAGCTAGGGTTGAGGGTACAGTATGGTGTTGATGTCGGGAGGATCAGGGCAGTGCAGTCTGCAACGGGAAGACACTACATCCTGACTGACCAACATGCGTCAGACTACACGTGCAGGTATTTTGTCTCTTGCTGATCCTCGGAGGAGAAATTTGCATTGGTTTGGATTGTTCTGTTGCACTCTTGTCCTCTCTCCATCAGCGTCCTCCTGGTAGCCACGGGCCTGTGGGTTCCTCACACGGTGGACTTTGTCGGTGCAGACCTGGTTGAGGGCTATGAGTCCATCTCCACTAACCCCGAGGACTACAAGGACCAGGCCGTACTCATTCTGGGAAAAGGAAACTCTGCTTTTGAAACAGCCCAGAGCATCTTAGGAAGAGCGAGTCGGGTGCACATGCTCAGTTCCAGCCCCGTTCGCCTTGCGTGGCAAACGCATTACGTGGGAGATCTCAGGTAAAATAAAGGATGGTTTCAAAACAATCATTACTTATTATGTCCCATTTTATTTCTTAAACCTGCTCCCCTGCTTATCCAGAGCTGTGAATAATGAGCTGATAGATACGTATCAGCTGAAGTCCCTCGATGGGCTGGCGGAGGCCCGTCTGGAGAAGATCGTTATCGCTCAACAAAAGGAGGAAGGCAAGAGGAGACTGGGTGGAAAGAAGAAAGAGAAAAGGAAACAGCTGTATCTCACGTTAAATAAGTACATGCACAGTAGGAACAGTTTTGATGCGACACAGGAAGAACTGCCGGGGCATCACATCGACAACTTCCCCATGCGAAAACCCTATGATCGAGTCATCCGATGCCTCGGATTCCGGTTCAACTTCAGCATATTTGACAGGTGAAGGCTGATGTTACGTGCTCTTCTTATTCTATCTAAGCACAATATGTAAGATAAGCCTGCTCATATTGTGTTAAAAAATTCTCCTCAGCTCCGCCTGCCCACCGAACAGTGAAAATGCCAAAGGGAGGTTGCCTGAGTTGACGCCCTGGTACGAAGGGAAGAACACCCCGGGTTTGTTCGTGCTGGGAACTGCATCTCACTCCAGAGACTATCGCTCATCTGCTGGCGGCTTTGTGCACGGATTCCGTTACACAGGTGACAGACTGCTGTTGTTTTGTGACATTTTGAAATTCCCGTCACCGTTTGTTAAAGGCACCGTGGCATCAGATGATCTATTGCAAATGTAGTTGGTACAACAGAAAAGTGAATTTTGTGCCAGTTCGACCTGTGATGAGGATGATTTTAACATGAACTGTGTTTTGTCTAACACAGCACGAGCTGTACATCGTTTACTTGAACACCGTTACCACAGGAACGCGTGGCCATCAACACAACTGTTGGCAACACATTTGCAGTCGTGGATTCTGAAGCGGGTCGACGAGGCCTCGGGGCCATACCAGATGTTTGAGGTGCTTGGAGATGTCATACTTCTTCGAGGGTAAGTATTTATTGCATGCTTGCTTGTTCCAGCTGTTCTCTTTTTTCCACTCTTGCTCATTCATGCTTATTAGGTTACATGTCCTGATAGTCTCAGAATTCATACTGACTTTTGGGGGGAGCAGCTAACTTTTTGGGGCATCCCTTGTAGTCAAAGGCCACTTTTACAAGTAATAAGTATGCAGTCTAAAACATGGGTATCCATGATCTGATTCTAAAAATCAGATCATGGATTTGTGCAGCACAAAAATTGCAGCACTGTTCCAGTTTTCTGTTGGCAAATTCTGGTAAGCTTGTGTAATCTTTTCCTCAGTTTCCTGTTCAGGAGTGGCAACGTTTTTCTTCTGCTGCTGTAGCCCATTTGCTTCAAGTTTTTACATGCTGTGCATTAAGAGATGCTCATCCACATATCTTGGTTGTTACAAGTGGTTATTTGAGTTACTGTTGTCATCCTATCGGCTTAAAGCAGCATCAACAAGGCATTTTTAGCCAGAGAACAGCTGCTCACTGGACATTTTTTTAAACCCTAGAGATGGTAATGTGGGGAAAATCCTAGTAGATCAATACTTTCTCAAACACTCAGTCTCAAACACTCTGACACCAGCAACAATGCGATGTTCAAAGTCACTTAAATCACATTTCTTCCACATTCTGTTGCTCAGTTTGAATTGTGGGAGCTCAAAGTGATCATGTCTACATGCCTAAGTTGCATTGTCAAACAAATGTGCTTGTATTGTTGAGAAAATGTTTTTATCCTTGATTCTAATCTGCTGTTTAGCCTGTTTTACACTGCTGGAGCTGCAGCTACTAGAACAGAATACCTGTTTAATCAAATACATTCATTTCACTCTGATCTTCGAACAAACTAAATTGATGTCCAGTTCCTTCAATATTAGGCAGTTATTGTCCTTCTTTGCCAGAAGAGTAAAGTCTCCAAACTATGACACCGCCTTACATCATCACAAGAAACAAAGCTGCAGTTGTTGATATTCATTATATATTTTATTCTCCTTTCTACTTGACTC